TCAAAGATTTAAAATCCACAAAAAATTTTATAGTGCAAGCAATTTTCCTTTAAATCTATTTCAGGCGCACCGTGTCATGCTTTAATTACTTTATAAATAATTCATCTGTTTTGGGAACCGCAGATCTGCGATACGCAATCTGGTGTTAACCCACTTATGTGGTATCCATTTTTCATTCCATCTTTTTTGTAACATATGTTTAGGAGAAAGATGAAATTTGAAGATGGCTACCACAAGTGGGTTATTATTCCCATTATTCCCTATGATTTTTGATCACAATTCTTTTCAATTCGTGATGAAATTTGTACAATTTAATACCGTTAAAGTAGAAAGAATTAAAAATAAATTTTATTCTGTTTAATACCACATAAGTTTGGAATCAATTTTATAATTTAAATATTACTTACATTTTAATTCATTTTAATAAAAAGGATTAAAGCGTACTAAAATTACTACAAAGATGATCGGAATTCTCAACGCTTTCAATTCGATTTAATATCCTTTTTGAACTTTTGTGTAATTATTTTAACATATTTAATCAACCTTTTGTTGTCAAGATTCCATATTGATAGTTTGAGTTTAGTGTCATCATAATGCATTTCTAATATTATAAAGTAATTTAGAAAAAATATTTTTTATTTACTTTTGTCTAGCTAGATTCGCTATTTAAAGTAGATAAGGAACCCAGCTAAAAATTCCTGTATAGGAACCCGTTTTAGAATTTTCACTAAACTAGGATCATGTGCAGGAACCTGTAAAGGAATCTGTTTTAGATTATTTACCAAAGTAGGATCCTGCACAGGAACCTGTAAAGGAACCCGTTTAGAATTTTAAACAAATAAGGATCCTGTAAAGGAACCCTGTTCCAATATCCTGCAACGGATCCCTCAGGGAACCATTAAGGATCCTACGCAGGAACCTCTAGGGATCCTGTACAGGAATTTTTAGCTGGGAAGGTAGGGATATCTTAAGCTTAATAAGGGAAAGAGGATGGAAATATAATGGAAATGTGGAAGGAGTCGAGGGAGGGAAATGTACATTTTGAACATCTACAGGATCATATGAGCCGTTCGCTCAGAGAACCACTTAAACCGGCTTAAGTTTTTGACCAAAAAATTAAATCAAAATTTCTAGGTTAAAGCCAATATATTTCAATTAAAAGATGTTTTTGTCATTTTTGGCCTAAATGGCTTTTAGTTTATTACAACAATTGACAATTGACTTCTTTTTAGAATTTTTTCAAACGAAGATTAAAGCTCTTTTTATGAAGAATACATACCGACATTGTCACGTCTGTTTCATTTTAGTTAATATACAGTTTTTAAGTTAATTAGTTTTTTAATTTTGTTATAATAATTTTAATCATCTGTAAAAATGTAAAACTGTAAGAAGCAGCTATTACTTAAATTATTTTTTGTATAATTATGAAACATGTACCTTTAATTAATTTTGAAAATTGAATTGAAAAAAAATATTTTATATGTTAAGTTGAAAAAATTATAAATTAAAAATAAAACTTTTTTTGAAACACATGTTTGACATGTGTTTCAATTTTGTAGGTTAGAAAGGGCAATGAAAAATAGATTTAGTATTGAGAATCAAAACGGTATCAAGCCAAGGTTCATATAAAAAGTGCTGAATGTATAAAGGTCGGTTTACAAACGTATTTCCAAAAAATTTTTTTGTTATGATATTAACTGTAAATAAATATAACTTAACTTTTCAACATCAGTTTTAAAGTTAATTGAACTATTTTCTTTTAAAATATAACACATTTCTATAATTTTTCGTTTTCGTAAATTTTTTTCTGAATGTAAAATTTTAACATCATTTGATGAAAAATTAAAATGATGTTTTAATTCCGTTGAATGTTTACAAAGGGCTGTTTCTTTACTTTTTATCGACTCCTCATATTTGTCTACATATTCTATTTTTTATATTCTGTGAAGTCTCACCCACATAACATGAATTACAATTTTTACAATTTATTTTATAGACTAAATTAATTTTTTCGAAATTGGGAAAACAGTCTTTAGGCAATTTTAGTATATTATTTTCAAATTTATTTATTTATCCATTTTCTAATAAAGTGTTGGTTCTGATAATTTTATAGCTCTGTCAATAAATAAATAAACAACACCTATTTTAATATTAATATGATGATTTGATTTAAAATTTAAATAATTGCCAGACCAAGTTTTCTTTTGATACCAATTTGTCTCTAGAAAACCATTGTTGAAGTCTAGAGACACATCAAGAAATTTAATTTTTTTTATTTTCTGCATTTTCTATTGTAAATTTTAAATATTTATCTTTAGAATTAAATTTGTTAAGAAAATCCTGCAATTTATCTTTAGGTAAACAACAAATTGTGTCGTCTACATATCTGTAATAAAATTTAATAGGGTAATCAATTTCATTAAAAATCTGTGTTTCATAATGTTGCATAACTATTTCTGAAACAACTGGAGAGATAGGGCTACCCATTGGGAGACCAAATTTTTGTCTGTAAATATTATTTTGAAATTTGCAGAAGGCATTATCTAAACACAATTTGAGTCCCCTGATAAATTCAGAACGAGGTGATTTAGTATGTTTTTTATAATTTGACCAATTTAATTTAATTATTTCACAAACTAATTTGCAATCTATGTTTGTGAACATGGATATTGCATCAAGAGATATTATAGTATAATCGTCTGGAACTTGAACATGTGAGATATTATTAACAAATTGCCAACTGTCTTTTAATGTAGTTTTAGATTTTAAAGTTTCTTTTTGTAAAATTGTTTGATAAAAAGTTGAAAAATTATAAAGTGGTGAGTTTATGAAAGAAGTAAAGGTGCTTATATACCTCAAATTTCGATCAGATGAACATTATTTCTGGACCGTGAAAATGCGTGAAAAGTCATTTTCACGGCGGGTATTTTTGAATTGTTTTAAACAAAAAATGTTTTTTTTAAGAAATATAATATTAAATAATTGTTTTAATATGTAAGAACACTTTAAAATAGTGATAAAAAGATGATTTGATTGAAAAATTTAGCAAATTTTGCTTTAAAACGTTTCTGCTACAAGAAAGTGTAAAATGACGATGTTTGTGAAATGGTTTGTACAGTGTACATGTGTACATGTTTCTTTCAGTTATTCGAAACAATTAGTTGAATTTAAATTTATTTGATAAACATTTCAACTTACCGATTTATTTTCAGCACTCATTATTTATTACAAGTTAAAAAGAAACGACATAACATAAACAAAACTCTGAGAGACACTCACAAGGAAGAAGCACTGTACAAACCATTTCACAAACATCGTCATTTTACACTTTCTTGTAGCAGAAAACGTTTTAAAGCAAAATTTGCTAAATTTTTTAATCAAATCATCTCTCTATCACTATTTTAAAGTGTTCTTACATATTAAAACAATTATTTAATATTATATTTCTTAAAAAAACATTTTTTGTTTAAAACAATTCAAAAATACCCGCCGTGAAAATGACTTTTCACGCATTTTCACGGTCCAGAAATAATGTTCATCTGATCGAAATTTGAGGTATATAAGCACCTTAACTGGTCTCAATGGAATACCATCCTTATGTATTTTTGGTAAACCATAAAACAAAGGTGGTAAACCATTGTGACATTTTAATGAAGAGGCTAAGTCGTTCGACTGTTTTCCCAATTTCGAAAAAATTAATTTAGTCTATAAAATAAATTTTAAAAATTGTAATTCATGTTATGTGGGTGAGACATCACAACATCTAAAGAATAGAATATCTAGACAAATATCAGGAGTCGATAAAAAGTAAAGAAACAACCCTTTGTAAACATTCAACGGAATTAAAACATCATTTTAATTTTTCATCAAATGATGTTAAAATTTTACATTCAGAAAAAAATTTACGAAAACGAAAAATTATATAAATGTATTATATTTTAAAAGAAAATAGTTCAATTAACTTTAAAACTGATGTTGAAAAGTTAAGTTATATTTATTTACAGTTAATATCATAACAAAAAAGTTTTTTGGAAATACGTTTGTAAACTGACCTTTATACATTCAGCACTTTTTATATGAACCTTGGCTTGATACCATTTTGATTCTCAATACTAAATCTATTTTTCATTGACCTTTCTAACCTACAAAATTGAAACACATGTCAAACATGTGTTTCAAAAAAAGTTTTATTTTTAATTTATAATTTTTTCAACTTAATATATAATATATTTTTTTTCAATTCAATTTTCAAAATTAATTAAAGGTACATGTTTCATAATTATACAAAAAATAATTTAAGTAATAGCTGCTGCTTACAGTTTTACAGATGATTAAAATTATATTATAACAAAATTAAAAAAAACTCATTATGTATATTAACTAAAATGAAACAGACGTGACAATGTCGGTATGTAATCTTCATAAAAAGAGCTTTAATCTTCGTTTGAAAAAATTCTAAAAAGATTTATCTTTGCAGAAATGTATCTGATGAGGACACAGAATTCTGTGTCGAAACGCGTCATGTCAATTGTTGCAATAAACTAAAAGCCATTTAGGCCAAAAATGACAAAAACATCTTTTAAAAAATTAAATCAAACATTCAGACCCCGGCGCGGGCGCACGCAAATCTGAGTATCCGCGCACTTTAAATTCTTCATAAAATTATAAATAATACACGAAAAATATGAGAAACTTAACAAATTTATTCTATATGTGTTGTAAAATATGTTAATAACCAAATTTGAAAAAATCACCTAAACCGGCTTAAGTGGTACGTTCTTCGAGCGAACGGCTCATATGTAACTTAAGAAAATGTAAATGAACTTTTAGAAGAATCTGCACATAAAGTTACGTTCCAATTTCTTATGGTGAACATGTACAATTTCCAGTACAAGAACTGATAGAAGTTTAGCTATAGGAAGAAGGATTAGTTCGAAAAGATGGGTTAGTGCATTAATAGTTTCAATATTAGAATATCATATACTACAAATTTGTATTACCTGACCAACAATAATGTATCCTGCTGTAATAGGCGCTAGTAGTCCAGCAAGATTTGCTAGACAGTTTGTAAATGACATTAAAACTCCAGCGAATCTTGGTGAAATATCTAAATGGTTTACTTTAAATCCAGAATATATGCCACCATTCAATCCGACTCCAACGGTTAAGATAGCCACTGTAAGCCAACGATCACACCCAGTATATGAAGCTGCGATTAAAGCAAATGCTGGTCCATACTGCCCGATTGCATTAACAATTTTGCGTGTTTTAGTGTGATTAAGTTTATTACTGGATATTAACCAATCAGCAACATGAGATATTATCATTGAAAATATCCACATGGCTAAATATGGCAGGGAAGACACTGTTCCGTTCTGTAAAAATTTTAAATAATTATTATTATTGTTGTTACATCATGCACCAATATGCATTATTTTTTGGTCTCTTATTTTTGTTTCTTTCTTATCGATTTCAAAAAAGAAGCAATGAAAAATATAAATTATGAGAGAAGTTCAAATTTTTATTTTTCAAGAGTTTCAAGTTTTATTTTAAAAATTATTAACGAATTTTTTGTTTTTTAATTTTTAAAATTATATTACAATTTAAAATACTAATTATTGTCAAGAAGAAAATTGATATCCCCTAAACAACGTCACATTTACGTGTTCTTTTAGACCCAGTTTCTTTTTCCTTGTTTCTGATTTAAACTATCCATCGAATTATCGATATTATAAACTGCATTATTATAATTTAAATGTACGTAATTATATTTATATTTTTTTCTACTTTAGAAAGAATTAAATTAATCTCAAATTTTATTCGAACATATATCTCATACATAAGTATGGGGTAAAATTCCTGTAGCGTACTAACGTTGACGTTTTTGAATCTGAAAAACTTATCAGTTTAAATTAAAAATTCCTTACCGATTTAATATTGAAGTGGAGAATTTGTTTCATAAATGTTGGTAATTCTGTCATTAGAGTTTCGTAACCATAGTTTTGACCCATGTGTGCTATTAAAATGGCCCAAAAGGGTAAAGATGTAACTATAGATTTCCATGGGACAGGTGGTGACTGAAAGAAAAAACCTTTTTTATTATTAAGTACAGAATAATGGAAATGTTGCGGGTCTGAGAAATTTTTGAACAAAAGTATGTCTTGTGCTATAATAGTAGGAGATTTCTCGGTGTACTCAAATAAATGAAAGCTATAAGAACATAATATAAAAATTGAAAAATAGTAATTCCTGACACTTCTATTAAGCACCTTTCACCAACACCTTAGAACAGTACGTAATTTTTATTTGTTACTTTTATAAATAGAGAAAATAAATTAAAAATTCTTCAGAACATCATATAAAAAACTGTTGCCAATATATATGTTTGGAAGGTTTTTCAGGCAATTTTTGAAAGGCTATTCTAATACACAAACACTTAAAAAAAAATTCAAATTTTTTAAAATTACACTTTTTAACTTACTGATGCACCTGCTGAACCCCAAAGAGCGCTCATGATATATTTCTTTTCATCGTCAGCAATAGTTGGATGCTTTTCAGGATCTTCGTGAACCATAATTAAAAATGCTATGCACCATATTGTTCCAACCGCCCCAAAAACGTAGAATATTGAAGGCCACCCGCCGTCAAATCCATATTCAGAAAGTAGCCCACTTAAGGGCATAGATATCACAGTACCAAATTGTGCTCCTAAAGTGTAAAATATAATGGCATATCATATAGTTAACATTTATATAAGTTTCATATAGTTATACATAATACAAAAGTTTTTCAAAGCTTTAAAGGTAAACAGTTGCATTACAAAAATGGCTGATACAATGCTCTCTAAATTTGAATTAGCGACTATTCGCTTATTCGTAGCTGCATACTCTGGGCTGATTAAAATAGCGACTATTCGATACCCAGTAAACGAAAAAAAGGATTGACCTGAATTGGATTGAATTCACGAAGAGCTTTGGTGAATCCCGTTTAGCGACAAATACGAATTGGAGCTATGTTGCAATTCTCCTGAATTCTACAAGCCTCTATTGAACTGATTAACCCTCAAAAATACACCAATCCCTGGCGGATTGGGTAAACCGATATGTAACCGAATTGAGCCATCTAGTGTTTAACGCGCATATCACAGCTGCCGTTGATGGTAATATACATATATGGTAACTCAACAACTGTATGCACTGTACACTTAAAACACTTATTATGCAGTAATTATATCTTAATTTATTCTTATTATTGCATAACTAAGCACTCTAAATGTCTATTAACCATTCCTAATAGTTATTTACAACATATTTCGTCGATTAACGACAATATTTTACAAGGAACCGAATCGTAACCGAATCGTAACCCAATTCGGTTACAACTCGGTTTACCCAATCCGCCAGGGATGGTATTTTTCTCATTGGGAATTCATTTCTATTCATTTCAATTCGTCGTGGCAAATCAGTAAGCGGGATTCAGAAGAATTCAACCAAAAGTCAATTCATTTCAATTCATTTTAATTACTTTTTATTTACTTGGTAGTAATAAGCGAATTTTCAATGAGTAATTATTCACTTATTCCCAGCTGCATACTCTGCGCTAGGAATAAGCGAATAGTCACTAATTCAAAGCGAATAGTCGCTAATTCAGATTTAGAGAGTGTGGTACTACTTAGAAAATTTGATATAAAATTTACAATTTTACAAATTAACAAGAAACTCACAATTTTTATAATTTGAATAATTTCCTTTATTAATTTAAAATCAGAGACTTGCCCGAATCATTCGTGTCGTTTCTGTTTATGTTCTGTACACAACACATTTACACATTGACTAATTTGTTGTGTCCTGGCACGAAACATTTCCCCATTGACTAGTGTGTTGAGTTCTGATACGACATATTTCTACATTGATTATCGTTTCGTGTTAGGACACGACACTTTTGAAATAAAGAAATGTTTTCGTGTTCGGACCTGACACATTTAAAATAATAAAATGTTTTGTGTTCGTAGGCACAACATATTTTCTCATTGAATAACGTTTCGTGTTTGGATACGAGACATAATTCTTTTTTAATGTTTCATGTCTAGTCACTGAAACTTTTAATTAATTAATTTAATTTGAATAATTTATTATTAATTTAATTAAATTTTTAATCTTTGTGATGGGAGAGGGGAAGGGGATGGGAAAGGAGAGTTGTTAGTTTTTGAGATCCGGACACGAAAACATTTAAAAAGTTTTAGTATCCTGTTTGGACACGAAAACTCTTTATTATTTTAAAAGTGTAGGGTGTGGACACGAAAACATTTAATTATTTTATAAGTGTAGTGTCCGGACATGAAAACATTTAAAAATTTTAAAATTGTCGTGTCCGGACACGAAAACATTTAATTACTTTAAAAGTATCGTGTCCAGACACGAAAACATTTAATTTTTTCAAAAGTGTCTGTTTAGAACACGAAAACATTTAATTATTTTAAAAGTGTCGTGTCCGGACGCAACAACATTTAATTTTTTTAAAAGTGTCCGGTCAGGACACGAAAACATTATAAATTATTAAATGTGTTTCTGATTGAACACGACATTACACAAAATTGATTTGGCGTTTTGTTTCGTTTCCGTGTCAGTCCCTGTTTAAAATACCTAATGAAATCACAACAATTCGAGATATGGAAAAATTATTTAGAATTAATTGTAATAACTATATAATTATCTAGATTTTTTAAGCCAATTCATCCTAATTCATCCGTTCACTTAATTCTGCCCGGCTGAAAAAACTTGTACAAGAAAATGTACAAGTTCTTGTACATGTTCATTAATAAACTTGTACATTGTCTTGTACATGTTCGAGTAATGTTCTTTAATAAGTTCAGGATCCGGAATTGAGACATGTGCTTGTACCAGAACTTGTACAAGATCCTGGATTATAAAATATACTTGTACAAGAAAATGTACATGTTCTTGTACATATTTTTTGTGCAGGTTTCATGTACAAGTTCTTTTACATGAACACGTTTATGTTCTTGTACAGGAACATTTGTTTAAAAATGTTTTTGAAAAAAATTTGAATAAGTTATAATTATTAAAACTCTTCACTTATGCATGCTAAAAATTATTGCGCAGCTGTAAAAGCTTAAGAAAACTACTGCGCAGCCTTTAAAGTTTTTAATTTTTAATTTAAAAGACATAAATGAACATGTACAAGAACATGTTCCACATCTGGTAAAAGAAAATGTACATGAAACCTGCACAAAAATATATGTACAAGAACATGTACATTTTCTTGTACAAGTATATTTTATAATCCAGGATCTTGTACAAGTTCTGGTACAAGCACATGTCTCAATTCCGGATCCTGAACTTATTAAAGAACATTACTCGAACATGTACAAGACAATGTACAAGTTTATTAATGAACATGTACAAGTTTTTTCAGCCGGGTTATAAATATGTGGCGTGATGCACCATATATGTTTTGATTAATTTTTGAACTATTTTTACTATGATGTAGAGGAGAAGTGTAGTCATTAACGAGTCTTTATTTAAACCTTTGAAAAAGACGACAAATATTACTTTGCCGCAAGAGACTAAATTTTGATTGGTTAAAATCTATTCTGCTTTATGTGACAAAGCCCTGACGTCGCAGTTGCAGTCTGAACAAAAATCTTAATCAGAAAGGAGTCCGAATTAGTCAACAATCTGTGCATAACGAATCCGTATTTAGTCAGGTCTGAAATCTTAATTGAAAATCTGTATGTAAAAAATCTGGTATTAGTCCGCAACAATGCACGGTGAAAGAGTTAAATTATTTACAAAATGTTGACCGGGAAATACAGAAAATTGACTGGGAAAAACCCAGAATTTATAATCATAAAAATTATCGCCACCCTGTCACAGTGAATTTTCTGCAGATAAATTCCGAATTTTTCCGGACTCACTTCGGATTAGGATGTTATACTAGACACTCTTCTGATAGCACTGTCACTTGTGCGAACATGATATACTAAAAAAAATATTTATTATTTGACAATAATTTATAAAAGCCATCTTTCAAATTAACTTTTAGAAAAATTTTTAAGTAAATTTACTGAAATGTTTAAAATTATCTTATTTCAAATATTATCTAACTACAAATCAGTTATTTTCAAGTGTAACTTGTACAGAATTTTTGATGTAGGAACAATTTTTGAAACCTTATAATTTTCTCAGTTTAACATTATAAAAATGTTCCTCAATTAAGATTGGAAATTTGTCATTTAAAATGATTTTCAAGTTTCATATAAGTTTGATTGTTTTATAGAAACTCAATTTCCTGAATAACATTTGTTCTTGTCTGCTTCAACAAAAATTTAAGCTATCATTCATCAAAAGTAGTCAGTTTTTACAAGATTATATAGAGTGGGAAGTGTAGAGAAATTAATAAGTAAAATGATAAATGTTGATTAATAATATACAATAACTTAACTTATTTTTATAGCGATTAAAGTAAAGTCTTTAATTAAGTTTTGCACTAATAATGGTACAATCTGTATAAAGTGAATATTTAAAGTAACTGTATAAAGATCGCTACGTATTACTAAACCAAAAATAGATGTTCTTAAAATGAAAGTTTTAATAAAATATTTTTAAATTAAGCTACAGTTTCGTATTTATTGATATTATATTCTTTACTATGTATATTGCAAAAAATACACGAGACCCGCATTTGACCCGCATGCGTGCAACTGCATGGCATGCGAGCGTAATACGTCTCAATCGAGGAGGCACCTGTCTGCACCAGTGAAGGCGGTTCCAGAATAGATGCAAAAGCCAAGTAAAAGTGCAAGTCCAAATACAAATCCCATGAGTGCAAAAGTGATAGATAGACTACCTATCTCTTTCGCACTCAAAAGATTGGCACTTGGACTTGGCTTTTGCACCTATTCTGGAACCACCTTGAAGGCACGTGTGCGGAAGGAAGCGTCATACATGCGAGCAATATGCGACGCATATTCATATAATTTTGTTATCTGGGTAAGGACTGATTTTATAGAAGTTTCGGGCTTATCTCATATTTGTGTTTTCGTCTGCACTAATTCCGGAATATTTCATATCACTTTTAAACTGTTTTGGTACTGCAAACTAGATAGATTTAGTCCGTTTAAAAATCTAAATCCGAAATGAGTCTGGTATAATCTGACATTCTATATATGTATTACACGGAAAAAAAATTCCGTAAGAATTACCGAATTTGTACCGAAATCGAGGATTTGTGCAAAAAACCATAAATTTTCATGAATATTACGTAAAATCTATCTAACTGTTGTGAAAGAATTCCTGAGCTGTATCCATAAGTCTTTAAACTTACGAATAAAAATAAATGCCTGAAAAAGTCTAGAACTATTTAATAATATTTCAGGAATTCTCCCGTAGAAATTACGTTTCTTGTGCCGGAATATCTACAATCACCTTATTTGGAATACCTACGTTTACAATTCCGGAAGAATTCCCGAACTCTGCCGTAAGAGAGATAGGCGCACAAAAACAAAAATTAATTTGAAAGCATTATTTTCTTTTATGACTACTATATATGCTTGAGTAATTCAACCTTAAATATCTAATTGTAATAAAAATTAATAACAATTAATTTTCAATTTATTCAAAAAAAAAATGATACCAAAATAATTTTTTCAAAATTTATGCCCTTTACTGTAAATTTGAATTAGTTAAAAATAACTAAATTGATAGCAAAAAATTCCTATACTCAAATAGTAATATTTCTACTAATTTTTTTGTTAAAAATAATTAAATATTAATTAAATTTACTTTTAGGTTGCGTCAAAATTGCAATTCAGTGACTCACTTTTCATTGATTTTTAGTAAAGATTGATTGAATCAGTAAAATTTCACAGTGAATTTTATTTTAAAGTGAATATATTCACTTTTCCCAGTGAATTTTTCACTAATTTTAAATTAGTGAAATACTTTTCACTGATTCAGATTAAGAAAGCAACGTTTATAATCGACCATTAGAAAATAATTATTTTTGAAAACGGAAAATTTTTAATATTTTAGCTAAAAAATGTTGTTTATAATTTCTTTATCAATAAACATTGATAGAAATATGTTTGAAACGAAAATTCAAAGAACTTTTCTTTAAAAAAAAAGAAATTTATTTAAAAATCGTTGACCACAAAAATTGTGCACTTCAGCATTATTCAAAATAACTAAAATTTCTTCTAATAAATTCAATCTGTAAAAAATGACTATTTTTCCAGTGATAATTAGATAGTTTTTTTTATTTGAACTTATTTAGAACTTTAGGAACAACAATATTTTCGATCCAAAAGTATATAAGTTGAAAAAGTTTGAAATATAAAATCAAACAAATTTTTTTTGAATGTATTTTATTTGAAACTATTAAAATTAATTTCAAACAAATAAATTTGTATTTCCTCTGAGACGGTTATATTTTTTAAGTAAAATATATCATTTTGATGATTTAAAATTCAACTATTTTATAAATTATAAACGATCTCAAATAAACTATATCAATTATTTGATATAATGTATTAAAATTACTTAGTTATATAATTGTTTATTTCTTGAAGTTAAAATAAAAAATGTGCATCATTGGCAAATTAAACTGATCCTCCAGTTTCTCACAAGCGCCAAACGAAAAGGACGATTAGTATATAAGAGAGTTTCGAAATCCCTTCTACCAGCGTGCGAGTTAATGCGTCGTGTATGTATCGAAACTCAGAGAGTATTAGAGAGTGGAAGCTGAGCGTACACGCTACTAGTAACGCCTCTAGCGTTTGCCACCCAACATTAAAAATATATATGTATAATGTGTATACTAGTATATACTGTGTTGTGGCAGCTGATTTTTGTTAGCGTCAAGATGCATCGATTTTAAAATTATCATTTTTTTAACTAAATAAAAGAAAATGTTATATTGCTGTGTAAAAAATTGTGCCACTCGTTTTGGCCGAGGAATATCCTCGTTTGCGTTTCCAAAAGATAAGTTAATGTAAGTATATTTTGTTATATTCCTATGTGTGTATACATAACCTAACTTTTATATGATTTAAAACTGTAAACATTATTGTTAAATTAAAAACGTTAAACCCTTTTTAGTCAAAAGAAATGGTTGGAATTTACTTCCCTTGATGAAAGTAATCTACATCCAAAAGTTCGAATTTGTATGAAACATTTCGACAAGAAATGTTTTAAAACACTTAATCCCAGGCCACTATTGAAACAAAATTCAATACCGACCATCAATATAGAAAACAAAAAGAGTGCTGTAGAAAATAGTAAGTTAACATTAATAATATTAAAAATATTAGTATAAACAATTTTGTTTATAAGTTTGTTAATTGTGAAACCATTGACTTCACAGGTCAGAATGTGAGTAAGGATGAAGACAAGACAATACAAACAGATGCTGAACAGACAAAGGAAGCAGGAAACTCTGCAAGTGAAATAAAGGAAGTTTCTCAAATGTCAACAGCGTCATTCAACGAAGGACGGAAAAGAGAGACTGAGATTAAATTAGAGTGTCTCAATGTTAAAAACTTAACAATAAGTGGTAAGAATTTTCAGACGTTTACTTTATATAATTTAGGAGATTGCACTTTCAAAATGCGATGTGAAAGATAAAAAATAACATAATTGCATTATATAAAGTAAATGTCAGAATATTAGATTAATTTTATAATATTGCAGGAAACATTTAAATTGAACAAAAAATAACAAAAAATAATACAGCTTAATAACAGTAAAATTATATAATAATAATATAACTAATGATAAAAATAGATAATAATAAAAGTAGAAATTTATAAAAAATTTTACTTTTTGATGACCTTATTTATTATGCTAAAAAATTTTTAAATATCAGTAAATTGTAAATAACACTAACCAGTAAGAAATTCGACAAAACCTGTAATATTAATATTTACAATAATTCAACCTTCTTTCATAAACTGAATTATGTGAAAAATTCAAATACATACAAAAGTTTGATGCTTTTTGCGAATAATGTACAACAAATTTTATTGTGAATAAATTTTACCATAAATAAAGTTTGTTTTGTTTTTATTATTATAGCGATCAACGAAGTTGAGGAGAATTCCATTATCCATTGCAAAATTTCCTTCGGATCACCGGTTTCTTCACATAATAAATCTGCTAGTGATTCATCACATCAATTTAGAAACAGTAAAAATTTACATCCTCTTTTTTGTGCAAGCAGTCCAAAATCACCTTGCAATGAAATTGTCAACACAGAAGTAATCAACACACCTTCTGGCCGTTCTGAAACAACTCCTTCCATAACTACACCTTCAAGGAAAAACGCACATGAAAATCTTTTCAATACACCATCTGGCCGTTCTGAAACAACTCCTTCCATAACTACACCTTCAAGGAAAAACGCACATGAAAATCTTTTCAATACACCATCTGGCCGTTCTGAAACAATTCCTTGCATAACTACACCTTCAAGGAAAAACGCACATGAAAATCTTTTCAATACACCATCTGGACCATGTGAAATGAAAAATGCTGGTGATTGTACACAACAAGGTATAACAGAAAGTGTTAATGAATCCACATTAAAACCCTCCATAGATAAAATAAAAATAAATGCTTATAAACGAACTATAGGCTTATTAAGGAGTAGGTTAAACAGGTTGAAAAAAACAAAAAATAGTCGATTAAACAATAAAACTAAAACCAAAGCTCATCTTGAAAATTTAATAAAAGAATCTTCTTCTTACCTACCAAAAGAAGCGCAAGTTTTATTTGAAACACAATTGAGGTTGTCACAATGTACAGTATCTTCTAGAAGAAGATATAGTGACGAAATGAAAGATCTTTGTTTATCGATGTTTTATTTGTCCCCCAAAAATTACAAATTTTTAAGAAAAATATGCACGCTTCCGTCAGAACGAACTCTTCGAGAATATCAAAACAGGGTTCCGGTTTCACCAGGTTTAAATAAAACAATTTTAGCAGAATTAAAAAACCAATTAAAAAATACATGCATTCAAATTTTCCCGGTTACACCGTTGGTGGGGATAATATCTTTGGGCATGAATCGTTTGAGGGCGCTTGAAAATCGTGTACGGTCAAATACATTGCTCACCTCGCTCCTGTCTCACTCACACCGACACAACAAAGGCGTCTTCTATATGCCTACTTTTTATTCATCTCGACGTTAGAATTTTTCCGGAACTCGACCGTAACTTCTACCGACAATTCAGTAATATCTACTTCTACTCGACCGAAACTTCTATATGAAATCTTTAAGTCCCTGGTTTCCTAAATATTACTGCATAGTTCCGGAATTTTTACATATAATTGAGGAATATCTACTTCAAAAGTTCCGTCCTTTTTCCGAATAAAAGGTCTGTAATAATTATGGTTTTTTGTACAAATCCTTGTTTTCGGTATGATTTCAGGAATTCCTAAGGAACTTTTTTTCCGTGTAGGGTCAGTCCACTGACATTCGTCTGAAAGTCATTACGGCTATATTTTTCAAAAATCTAGTTTTAATGTATGTAAAACTTGAAGATTTTCTAAGTTCATTACTTATAATATTAAAGTAAAATATTGTTTTTTCTTTATTCATGCATACAAAACCCTCGTTTGGCTATGGCTTACAGCAGTCAAAAATGGACGATTTCTTCACAGTGTAGATAAAGAGATGGGCAAAATGTTTTCAGCAGTTAGCAAAATGCTTACACGTGTTAGCAAAACATTTTGCTCACCGGAAACTAACGTCGCCATCTAGCGTCGTACACCGTTACTACGTCAGTTGTGTCATGGCGGATGCACTGTGAAAGGTTAGGTAGCAGAATTTCGTATAGAAAAAACAAAACAAGTACAAAACTAAATTATTAAAAATGGATTGCGACGACGAAAACAGTTATGATTATTTACAAAAACTGATTGACGAAGCAGATAGCATCGTGCTAGACATGTTGCCGAGCAAATCAAAATCAAAATATATTGCCGTGTATCAAAAATTTTCTCAGTGGAGACAAGAGAAACACATTAATGAAAAGAATATGTGCGAAGAGGTGCTTTTGGTTTATTTGAAAAAACTGTTTGATGAAGATAAGTTAAAGCCTCCAACAGTTTGGTCCAGATATTCCGTGATGAAAACCACTTTACTTACTTACGAAAATCTTAATATAAAATCGTGGGAAAAAGTTTTATCTTTTATGAAAAAACAAGCCAAAGGTTATTGTCCAAAAAAGGCAATGATATTTTCAGCAAATGACATAACTCATGCTCCGGATGAAACTTATTTGGTTGATAAGGTAAGTCTCAATCTAATAATCTAAATATATGCTTTAAATTCTTCTAATAAAAATATAGAATAAATTTCTAAAAGTAATAAATGCAATTTATATTATTGCCATGAATAAAATAATTTCAATGGAATTTTGTAGGTTATTTTGATTTTGAGATTGAAAACAATTTAAAAACATAATAATTGTAATTTAAAAGTCCTTAAATTTGTTAAATAGTAAAAAGTATGTAAAATTATTGAATAAATATAAAATAATAAGTTTTAATTAATTTATTTTTTATTAACGATTAATTATGTTCTAATTTTGTAGGTTATTTCAATCTTAGAAGCAAAACATAATATCTTTAAATTCGACTAACAAGTATATAGAATGTTGATAAAAGCATTAAATAAGATTATATTTACTGTATATAAATAGGAATTATAAATAAAATAATTGAATTGTAATTTTGTAGGTTATTGTTTTTATCTTGGGAATGGCAGGCTCTTGGGAATGGCAGGCGGTTTAAGGGGGGCGCCTACTTTATCGGGTCAAAAAAATCGATTTTTTAAAAGTTGTCTTAACTGAAAGTACAACTATCAGAGAATATGCTCTTAAAATATTACGTCAAAATACAAAGTATTTTTCGAGTTACAGCTTGTAGAACGCAATAAAGCGCGTGGCCTGGCGCGCGACTCCACTCGCGGTCTCTAATACTTTTCATAATTTGTTGCGCTTATCTACTATTACACCTACCATTAAAATTACCATTTATCAGTAAAATGTCGTCTTATCCAAGATCTACCCATAAAAAAATAGTCGTTCATCGAGGCCTGTGACTGCTGTAAGTTTTTAATAAACAGTTTTTCAATCTTTAAACTCGTTTTTCTCAAAACATTGTTTTTGTAGTTTGCGTACACGATAGACAAAAATCTATTCAACCGATTAAGGTCTACCTGGGCTTGTTTTAAAGATAAAAAGTGTCTCTTCTGTATGAACTAAATTTGTTTTTGATAGAGTTAAATTTAGTGCTTTCTTTTATAGAAAAAATGAGATTTTTTTTGTCGAAAATTAAATTTTTTTTAAAAAAGTCATGTAAAAATGTCAGTTTTTACTTTCTATTGAAATCTTTTAATTCATACAGAAGGCAATAATGGATATTTAAAGAAAAAATTTTGTTTTTTTGTTTTAGATAAGAATTGTGGACCCTAGGTTGTACGCAATGGGAAAATTTCAGCAGCGAGGCGTTATATATATGGCGTTTATTTTATTATTAAATTCTATTTTCATTTAATCAAAAAATTATATTTCAAAGATTTAAATATATAAGAAAACATACACTAAATCTCGCATCGATTTATTTAAATGTGTTTGAGAAAAAAATTCCTGAAATGTACGCAGTTTTTTACCTTCTAAAGTAGGCGCCCCCCTTAAGACGCGAAGAAATTTACAATATTTCAATTGATGACATTCAAGAAGATAATAATTCTCTTATATTTTCAATTCCAAAAACAAAAACTGGTGAGTCAAAATCATTTGTTGTCATGGGAGAGTTACGTAATATCATTAAAGAATATCGTGCACTTCGGCCGGAAAATGTTTCTAGTAAGAAGTTCTTAATAAATTACCAAAAAGGTAAATGTACCAGTCAAGTGATTGGAATTAATAAAATAGGAATCATGCCGAAAAAAATTGCTGCTTTTTTAAAAAAGGAGAATCCTGACTCTTACTCAGGCCACAGCTTCCGCCGAACTTCTGCCACCCTACTCATCGACGATGGCGCCGATATCACAGAATTAAAGAGACATGGCCATTGGAAATCAACATCAGTAGCTGAAGGATATCTTGGAGAATCAATTTCGAATAAAAAAAGGACATTTTCTAAAATCACAGAGGCTATTGAAGTAGAAAGACCTGCCAAAACACCTGCGTCAGTTAATTCTGATAATACACCGAGATTTCACTCAGCTTCAGTTCTTAGTTCAACTTCAGGGGAAAAAGATATTTCGTCACTAATAAGCAATGATGAAAACAATGCTTTGAACCACCAGAGAAACGCTAATTGTATTTATAATTTACACAATTGCACGGTAAATATTGTTCATAAAAGTGTATAATTAAAAAAATCTAAATGATCGAGAATATTTTTTGTTAATGTTTAAACAATTTTAAATGAAAATTTATGTCATAAATACCGACACAGTATTTTTAACTTTGTGATATAAAAAAGAGAAAAATTATGTTCTGTGAAATGTACGTATATGTAAAAATGTACATTTTAAATACGTAAGAAATATAAATATTTTGTTGTGAGATTATTGACAGTATTTTTAACTTTGTGATATAAAAAAGAGAAAAGTTATGTTCTGTGAAATGTACGTATATGTAAAAATGTACATTTTAAATACGTAAGAAATATAAATATTTTGTTGTGAGATTATTGACAACTTACGTTGGTTATCATCTATTTTTGCGTATTTCAAATAATAAATTTTTGATAATAATTATTGTTTTCACTTATTTACATAAAAGCAGATTTTTTAAATATATTTAAATAATTATTTATTGACTAATTATAGGTTCTATATGTTAAATTCTAGTTTCTTTAGTAAAAGCATTTAAATATCATTTAGTTTGATTCTGCAACAAACGAAGAGGGGGGCTTCGCCCCCCGAACCCTACTTTCGACATATGCACTTAAAAAAAAAAAAAAAAAATAGGTATAAATATTTTGTCAAAAAATGAATATTAATTTTGAATATTTTTTTTAAATTCATATTTTTGTGATTTAATTTTATGCATTATAATTAGTAAAATTTTGGTAATAAAAAGTGTTTTCATTTATTAAAATATGAGCTAAAGTTTATAATTCTTCAAATATATATAATTTATTTACTTGTGTTATTTATAAGTGTTAAATTTTAGTTTCTTTTTTTAATTATAACATTGAAATATCTTTTGAATTGGTTTTTTTTGTAGACGGGGGGCTCCGCCCCTTGACCCCGTCGGGGGGTAAACCCCCCGAACCCCCCCTCGCGCCCCAACTATCATGTTGGCTTGATAGTATACTGGTATCAGCTATTACGTTGTCTTGATTGTACTGTAATATACTTCTATAACATATGAACTCGAGTTTTGTATGCATTTATAAAGAAAAATAGCGTTCGACACTCGTGGCCGGGCGAGCGATTGCCCCTTCCTCGTGAAACGGCGTGGCGAGAGCTCAAAGCTAGGGAAATAGCTCTTTGAGGACCAGTGTTGCTTTTAGGCAACATGAACATTTTTTTCTTATATCTCATTGATAAGTTCCTTGAATTTTAAAATTCAATATTAGAAAAATGTTTTGAAACAAAAAAACCTTTATTACTTTCGCTGAAAAACTTGTTTAAAAATCAAAAATCATGCTCTCTAAATCTGAATCAGTCATATTTCACTGATTAGCAGTAGAAATCCACTAATTGCTATAGCGAGAATTGAGCAACTGATAATTAGTAGAAATTTACTGATTCAATTAGTAAAATATCAATTACTGATTGAATCAATAATATAAACATATGGCAGCGGCCGCAAAATCTACTGATTTAATAGTTCATTTTAAAGATTATGTTATATACAAATTACTGATTTACATAAGTTATTTTCTATTGCTTATATATTCACTAATTATATTAGTAAATTTCAAAAAATAACTGAAACTTCAGTTAAAATCAAAAGTACTGATTGAATTAGTAAAATTTCTACTGATTTAGATTTAGAGAGTGATTTTTTAAGAAATTTGGCTCTTAAATGGCTCACACAGCACCGTAAATTTTCTGAACTTGTATTACAGCTTTATTGTCCAAGTTGGGAGTATTTCGTTGCAAAGCTCAATAAAGATTGAGTATATATATATATATATATATATATATATATAAATGCCCGCACTTGATTAAAGGTTTAAGCGTGAACCTTGTGTGAAACTGTAAATTACAACCTCATTAAAGGTTTAGCGTGAAACTTGCCTGAAGCTGTAAATTGAAACTTCAGTAAAGGTTAAGCGTGAACCTTGCCTGAAGCTGTAAGTTACAATTTCGGTAAAGGTTCAGCGTAAAACTTGCCTATGAACCTTTAAATTACATTTTCGGTAAAGGTTTAGCGCGAAAGTTGCCCAAGCAGCACGTAATATTACCTTAATATCAGTAATATTACATGAATTAAATATTCGCCCAGATAGCTGGGCTCTAAAATTATCTGAGCGTTTTAAAGAATTACGAGGAACTTTCTCCTATAATTAAATTAAACTATGAAAGATTGTACGTATTAATAATAATAATATAATTAAAAGAATTATATTTTTGCTTCCTCGTGGAGGAAGCTTTGTAGTCTTTTCGTTTATAAAATTTTTAAAAAGAAAGTTTGTAGCAATATTTGATATTATGGTGTTACTTTTTAGTATATTTGGTTACAATTGCGGAACATTTTGGCATGATAATGATTTTCGTTACTATTTTTAAGAATGATTGAGATTAAAATAAGAATATTTAATATAGTTGGAAAGAAAATTTGATATAATATTTACGAAATCTGAAATCTTTTTATTGAAACACAAAAATGTCAAATTTTAATAAGCTCTTTATCAATTTTTCTAACCAAATATTTCAAATTTCGTAATTAGAATTTTATAAAATGATATAATTATTTCAGATTTTGATATATTTGATATGAAAATTGAAAAAAAATATCAAAGTTAACGAGATTCGACGAAATTTGCCGAAGTTGAACGTTTGGAATTGCCAGATCCTCACCGAGTGGTAACGAAGACTGACGAAGCTCTTTAGACAAGCCCCTTTTTACCATTATTTTGATACAGACCTGAATTTCTTTTATATAATTAATTTCGAAGATTTTACAATAAATCAGTAAAAAATTGTTCTTCAAAAAATAATAAAATATTTAATTATTTCCCAATAAATAATGATTTTTATTTATATTTTTAAACATGTTTTGATATAATTTCACCTTTCTCATATGCGGTGAAAAATATGTCTGGTTAGTATATAAGAATGGTCACATCAGTTTTTCACATGAGAGTAAATTTGTATATGAAGCGTTATTCTGCGAATGTTATACGTATTATCGTTAGTATAGGTTAGGAATAAAAATAAGCCAATCGATGTAAAACAATGCGGTGTATGTGTGTGTGCATTTAAAAGTTCATATCCTCGTCTATCCTCTAGATGAGAAAGAGATAAAACTTTGGCATAGAATCTATTGGTGTTTCTGTCGTCATCTGTCACGACTGAACCACTTCGAATTTTTAGTATAGTTTTAACAAATTTCGAAATAATCTTTCCAAATTTTCATATAAATTTAGTAAATAACGAAGTGCGCGTCGGTTTAACTTACTTCTGGTTTTTCGTATAAATTTATCAATTTACGAAATAATAATTTCAATTTCTGGAATATATTTACTAAAAAGACTATTGGTAAAAATATACCGATTTTCGTTATCAAACCCAAATGTTCCGCGTTTGAAAAAAAGAATACTAAAATTTCCTATCAGATTTATCAAATATTGCTACTAAATTTCTTTCCGTGTAGATTTGGGTGAAAATTGGTAGGCTTATTTACCACATTAATCTCTCAAAAATGACGAGAGGATTTTTAAAAATACAAAAAAAAAATTTTATCTTCTTTTTTCCAAAAATTTTTTTTTAATTGAAACATTTTTTAAATAGAAAAATTTAAGGTAATATATAATATAATTGTCTTCCTTACGTCAAGACGAATAGATTGGTATATATAAAGTATAGGAGGCATTTCATATGAGAATACGGGGTCATATCTCGGATTTTTCTCAAAATTCGGTAAATTGTAGTGATAGTGGTGCCAAATAAGTGTACAAATTATGAATTTGAGATTTTTAATATTTTTCGAGATATTTACAACAACAAATTTGAACAATATTTTTTTGCTTTACGTATAACTTTTTTCCTACTAAAAATAGAGAAAACTGTTGAGAATGTTTTTTACGCAAAAGACCTTAAACTTTTAGAAAAAAATTTTAATTTTTAAACAATTTGTTTAAAAAATAAAATTTTTTTATAACTTTTAAACATGTTCTCCCTCATTTTAAAGCGCGAAAAAATCATGAATATTGTTTATGTTATAATAAATCGATGGTTAAATTTTTGAGATGGCATTATTTTTTGTTTTCGAGATATTAATTAATTAACTAACAAAAGTTAATAAAAAATGAAATATTTTACGAACAAATAAAATTAGAATAATTTTAAAAATACTATTCCAATGCTTATCGAAATCCGCATCCAACTAGCCCTATATAGGAGAAAATAATAATAATAATAGGGAAAAAGTTATAAGTAAAGCAAAAAAATATGGCTCTAATTTGTTATTGTAAATATCTTAAAAAATATTAAAAATTTCAAATTCAAAATTTGTACACTTATTTAGCACCACAAATCACTACAATTTACCGAATTTTGAGAAAAATCCGAGACATGACCCTGTATTCTTATATGAAATGCCTCATAGATTTCATTGGAATTTAAAGAATTAATGAATGTTAAAAAATCAAAAATTCACATTTTAGCTAAAAAAATGTTGTTTTCTTAAATTCATGTTTATATATAAAATAATTTTATTCCCTGCATTGAAACGAATTGGTTGATATATACATAAAGTATAGATTTGATTTAAATTTTAAGAATTAATAAAAATTAAAAAATCGAAACTTTCTATTTTAACTAAAAAATTTTGTGTTTTTTTAAATTCAAGTTAATACATAAAATAATTGTATTCCTTGCATTGAAACGAACCGATTTATTTGAAATGTTCGGAATATTTAATTGCAATGTTTAGCGAAAATTGTGTAAAGATTTAAATGTCCCACTTGAATAAATGTTCAGAAAAGTTTCACACTAAACAATACAATGTCAATTTATTGTAATTTTTAACGTCAATGAAGAATAAAAAATAATACAATGTATATTTTTTGTAATTTGTACCTCTTTTACGTACATTGAAAAAACATGATTTTCATGCTCAAAACTTAAGCAATTCTTTTATTTATAAAGATTGTCAGTATTTTTCCCTTAAACTACCACTCTTAAGCTTTACTCTCCCGTTTGAAATTTTTAAAAAGATTGATTTTATTAACAAATATATTATTTAAACAAATGAACATTTTAGCAATATAATTCTAGGATAGTTAATGCAATATCC